GCTCTAGCTCTTGCCACAAAAAGCCCTGTGCAACCTCAGGATTCTGCAGGGAGTCCTGCCCAATAAGATGACCCTTACCAAGCGTGGCCCCATAACCTTGGACCTTCAAAACCCTGAGCTAAATACATCTTTATTCTTTATAAATGACCCAGTCTGTGGTATTCATTCATGTTTGTTTTGGCTTTGCTACAGGGCATGTGAACTTGCCTGAGACACAGAGAGAGAAGGAAAGTGAGAAATCACCCCCCAGATGGCATGGCCATGCTGTAATCCCTTCTCCTCCATTCTCTTCTTGGGATTTTGGGTACACACATGCATGTGCCCGGGATGTTTTTCATACTTGAACTGTGATGTCGGCCATCTAGGATCCAGCACCTTAACCACCACACCACTGGCTGGCCCTGGCAGTCATTCAGCAGCAGAGAACAGACTGAAATAGTGGCTTACTATATGGAATGACCCAGACTTTCATCCCCGAGAGCTCTGAGCCCCTCGTGATTATACCCTTATCAGGCCACAAATGGTCACTTACCCACTTGTAGTTAAAACTGAACATGGGAGGAGCAAGAGATTTCTCTCTGGGATCACATATGCATCACACACATTCCTTTTGCCCCATTGTGCAGGAGCAGTCCTACTTCCCCACAAGGAGCAGCATGAACTATCCAAACAGTATGGGAACTTCTTTTCTTTCCCTGATCATCTGTTGGCATTAGAAGCCAAAGTGGACAAATGACAGGCGTATCTTTAAATTTACTGAGATTCTTTTTTTTTAATTTGCCAGAGGACATGTGCACTAACCAGAGACAGAGACAAGGGGAGGGGGGGGAGAGAGAGAGAGAGGGAAAACACATCTTCCCACCCTCCCACCCCCAAGTGGGGAGTGGTCTACTCCAATCCCTTCTCCATTTCTCCATTCTGTAAGGATGTGAGGCACGCACACACACACATGCCTGCTGTTTCTTGAGCTGCCAGGCCTGGGATTTGACCTGCAGGGTCAGCCATGTGGGATCAAGCTGCCAACTACAAGTCAGAGAGTCAGCTCTACTGAGATGCTTACATTGTGCCTGGTAGGACCACACACCCACTCTGGGAACCAGGACCTCCAGACCTGCAGAGCTGAAAGATGCAGCGATGTCAAGCAGTTTCCTCAAATGGACTCCTGGGAATGGTGTTGAGCAGGGTCACTTCTACTCCCATCTCTTGGTTCCAGAGTCTACTGGTGATTTAACACTCCAGGAAGGTCAGGTTTATCTATATTGTGAAAGGTAGTGCCCCCATCCTTGATGGCACAAGTGCACCTTTAAAAGACCATCACACTGCTTGACCAGTCCAGCACCTTCTGGATGGAAAGGTACTTGGAAGGATCAGTGAGTCCCACTGCTCACATGACTATAGGCATGTGCCCACTGCCATGCCTGCTTTGCCAGTAAGTGGGTCTCTTGTTTCAAGGCATTATGTAGAACTCCATTCCAGAAGATCAAATATCGACGATATGGGTCACTGGCTGGGAGGCACAGGAACCACAACAGCAAAGCAAAATATGTATCAGTCCTGGTCAAGATAAATTTTTCACTTTCCCTGTGATAATAGGTCAACGAAAAGCCTCTTTCTCTGCTACGGTGATTCTATTCATGAGCACACTATGCAAGCATGGAATAGCTGAGGTAGTCCTCCCGGAAAATCCTGTCCATTTGGATATTTAGTGCTTTGATGAAGAATACGTTAATAGTCTCTGTTCTCAAAGACCTATCCAAATGTTCTTCACCAAAGCTTGCTCTTACCATTTTCCCATCTTCCTCCTTCTGGGCCCCTGACGAACCAACCCACTGACCATAGGTTCATGTAAATCCTTACCTCGATCACTTTTTTTTCTCCCAAAGTGGGCAATCAATTACATTGTCCAAAGTCTTACACATTGAAAAGACACTCCCAACTCGGATTACTGAGACTGTAGCCCACATAGTCCCTATCTGGCTCCCCCTAACATACCAAACCAACCCATCCATGAATTTTTTTTCCTCTGTCAGATGGTTGAAGGGATTCTTACATGTGCTTAGGTGTGAGCTAAGCACAAATTGCTATTTAACCCGCAGAATTTTGGAACAAAAGGGATACCTCCTTGGGACCAGCAGTTAGCGTAATGGCTATGTTGCTGGACTCCCATGTAGTTGACCGCAGTTCGAGTCCTGGTCCCAGTGGCTTAAAACTCAAGCTGGGCGTGTGTGCATGTGTGCCCAAGAGCCCAAGAGGAGAATGGAGGAGAATGGATTGTGGCATGGCCATCTCCCTGGGGTGTGATTTCTCGCATTCTGTCTCTGTCGGTCTCTGGCTAGCTGGCGAATGCACGCGCCCTATGGCAAAAACCTCTCCAAAAAAAAAAGGGGGGGGGAATACCTCCTTTAAAGATTGAAAACAGTATAAATATTTCGTATACAGCTTAAATCTAAGCTAATGGTTATTTATTTATTTTTATTGCCAGAGGGTACATGTGCTTCTCAGAAAGAGACAGAGAGTCAGCGAGGAAGACAAGGAGAGAGAGAAAGGATTCCCCAGTGGGGCATGATCACACAGCAATCTCTTCTCCAGTTCTCCATCCTGTCATGATTTGGACACACATGCACATGTACACAAGCTGCCAGGGCCAGGATTCAAACTAGACTGGCCATTTGGGGTCCAACTCCCTTAATCACTATACTACAAGGCCAGCCCTGTAATGATTATTTCTTATCATCAGAGAAGGGAGGCTAAGAAAGTGCTAGAGACATCCTTACAGCAACACGTTCTTCCTGAGGAACATGTTCTCTAGAGGCACCTCTCATGTAGGAGAACTATGACTAGAGAAATGTATCAATTAGGACAGGATCTACAGAGAGATGGAAGAAGGCCCCAGAGCAGTGCTACTACAGGTGGCTTGCAGACTTGCTGGTCTGTGAACAGTTTCTTACCATCTGTGACACATAACTTAGAAACTGAGAGTGTTTAGAAACTTTTTAGCACATGGACATTGCTATGATATCCAAGTACATGATCAGGGACTTGACCTATGTCACAGGTCTGGCCAGTTCAGGTATCGTCAGGCTTGCATGGTGGGTAGCATATGGTGCACACTGTATGGGCAACAGGAGCCGCATATTCATGCATGAAGGACTGGATGTTTAAAAAACAAAAATCTTGGTCCTTTACCACACATAGCTTGAGAAGCACTGCCCTAGATTTCCAAGCTCTATACTTCCACGAGTCCTAGAATCATTCAAATAGTGTTTTTAGAACAGAAAGTCAACTTGCTCATGTCTAATAAAAATAAAAATGAAAACAAGTGCCTTAGGAACAAAGCTAAAGGGGATGAGGCATCTATTCAGATTCCTGGAGCAAGCCCTAGCCAGGCTAGCAGAAGTGAGTGAGAAAGAAAGCTGACAGGATGGGGCCAGCAGGTGGCACAGTGGTTAGGAGTGGAACACCCACCCACTTTGCAGACTGTGGTTCACACCTTGGTCCTGACAGCTTGAAAATCATGCCAGACATGGGACCAGCAGATGGTTAATTGTTATGTTGCTAGACTCCCATGTAGCTGACCGCAGTTCTAGTCCCACACCCGGAAGCTTAAAATTCACACCAGGTGCTTATGCGTGTGTTCCCAAAAACCCAAGAGGAGAATGCAGAAGGGATTGCAGCAGGCAATCCCCACTGTGGCGTGATTTCTTGCTTCCTGTCTCTATCTTTCCAGTGAGTACACATGCCCTGTATCAAAGATCTCTCTCTCAAAAAAAAGGAGAAAATCATGCCAGGCATATATGTGTGTGTGCCCACAGGAGGAGAATGGAGGAAAATGGATTGTGGCATGGTCATTGCCCCGAGGGGTGATTTCTCACTCTCCTTCTGTCTCCAGCAAATGAACACATCCTATGGAAAAAAAAAAATTAAACAAAAAGTTGGCAGGACAGGGACAGTGGGCACAAGAATCCAGGGGAAAGGCCCTTTGGTTCTTCCCTCATCCTTTCCATCCTAGTTCAGTTACTGTTTGGAGCATTAAGGAGAGAACTTTGGCATATAGACCTGATGACACTCATCAAATATGCCCGCTCCTTCCCAGCCCAGAGAGTAGAGGAGCCTCACATCCAAAACTGGGCTCATCCATGCTCTGCTGAGGTACAGCACCTTCCTGAACAGTCTTTCTCAAGGATGTTTTCCCTCTTGCCAATAACACAGAATGCATGGAATCTTAAAGGAGTGCGAAGTCTTACCCAGGGTAAAGCATCATGTCAGGTGTCCAAAGCAAGTCAGATAATGCATCTGAATTTGCCCTGACAACAGTTATTTCCTGAGTGAACCAGGCCAGCCAATTGGGTTGGCCAGATTATCCACCAACATCTAATACATGCAGCCAAGGTCTCCAGACCCAATGGGAGCCACAGAGAAGTACGCAATCAGCTCAACAAGAAATAATTTAGAAAACATGTGAATAATGCATTACTAATAGTAATAGTGTGTGGGACCAGCAGTTAGCGTAATGGCTATGTCGCTAGACTCCCATGCAGTCGACGGCGGTTCGAGTCCTGGACCTGGTGGCTTAAAATCACGCAGGGCGCGTGTGCATGCGTGCCCAAGATCCCAAGAAGAGAATGAAGGAGAAGGGATTGTGGCGTGGTCATCCCCCCTGGGGGTGATTTCTCGCTTCTGTCTCTCTGTCTCTCTCTGTCTTTCTGGGGAGTGCACACGCCCTATAACCAAAACCTCTCCAAAAAAAAAAAATTAATAGTGTGAAATGCTGACACGTAACACCAGTTAAAGGGATTTTCAGGTTGGATCACTCAGGAGGAAACACGGAAAGACAGTCATCTAGACTCTTTTGCCAACTGGGGCACCGGCTGGGCTGGAGAAGGCATGGTGGAGCCCAGCACACAGTGTTCTGTAGAACGAGTCTCCTACATTCTCACCCTGCTGCCTATGGAAGCTGAGGAAGATCAGAAAACGACCTGGATGAAAAACAGGCCACACTCCTCTGTCAGAATATTTATTAGACACTGCCCCAGGGGCCCTTCAGGAAGGAGACCCAGGCTGCATCTTTCTCCCAATCCCAAATTGCCTTCCTAACCAAAAGGAAGGATTCTAAGGGAATCAGAAGTCTCATATAAGCCAGACTATACAGGAAAGCACGGCCATTCATTTCCCTGATCTGACACTACAATTATGTGTTCTCCCAGGAGACTGGAGGATGGAGTAGGTGAGGGGAAACAAGATGTGTCTTCTCTGTCACAGCTTGAGCTCAGGAGGATTGGCATAAACAGGTATTTAAAAAACAGAGGGCCTATGGACAGGCAGAGGACAAAGTAAGGGCAGGAGTTGGGTTCACCCAGATCACATAGCACTGCAGAAAGAACCAGGGTGGCGACCTGAGTTCTCAGGCTGCAACAGGGAGCTGAGGGCTCAGCACCTGGAAAGAGAGGTATCTCAGGATTTCTCTTCCAACCCTGCTGTGATTAAAATGCAAAAGCCCTTTCCCCAAACAATCTGTCTGAATGTGAAAGGGCATGATGACATACCTATAGCCTAGCACGGGCTAAATTTCTCCCCATTCCCAAAGGCTCCGCTCCCAGAGAACTACAGAAATAGAGTTCCAGGACTCTGTCTATGCCACCCCCCCACATCCAAAATGGAGTACAGACAAGGCACAAAGACCCTGGGAGTAAAGGTGGACATCGGCGTGGCCGCATATCGCATTATTTTGAGAGATGGAAGAAGGTGCAGGCCCCAGAAAGGATGCCTGCCTTCACCTGCAGAGAGCTGGGCCTTTGCTAGCAGCAGAAACCACAATTGAGTAGGCCTCACAGAAATGGTCTGCGGAACAGATCCTGTTCGTAGAAAAACAGAGGACAAGCCTCTGCTGGTATGGCACATCTTGAATGGGATGACAAAGGACAGTGGGCAGACCGCTCCTGGAGACGACACGCCTGCCTCTGCTCTCAGTGGTTCTGTGGCTCCAGGTGTGCCCCACGGCTGGGACTCGGGGAGGAAAGCGTGCTGTGTTTCACATGATCAGACACTGCTCGCCACTGGCACCTGGGGGGCCCGACAGATTGAGGGCATCCAGGTCAAAGTTGAGGCCAGGAGGCTGGAGAAGAGATGAAGGGACTCAGAGAGCTGCTCATATTTCAAAGGTCCAGCCCCAGTAGGCACAATCATCACCTTAGGTGGAAGCACTAGAGGCTATAGAGTTCTACCAACCAGGGTCTCAAATTAAAATCTCAGAGGACAAGACACTCACCATCTCCCCAGCCAGCTCTTTCGGAGGATGACCCAAATCCTGTAGCTGAAAAATAAGGAAAGAGGAACGTGAGACAGAAAAATCTCAGAAAATAGAACACAGAAAAGGAATCTGATGATCAGATTTCCTCTGACGACCACAATATGTGGCCTCTCTCATTCTCCCTCTACCTGGCCTAGGCAGCACAGTGTCCTTCCCAACACCTCCACCAGTGAACACACACGGGGACAGCACCAGTGACAGGCAGCCAGAGGAAGCCGTACCTGCTGCATGAGGTCCAGCACTGCCTCAAAGCGAGCCTTCTGAGTGGCCTCACTGTCGGTGGGGGTCTCTGCTTCAAACTGCTCACATATTTTGCCCATCACAGCGTGCTGCTCCTGGTATTTTTCAAACTGCTCTGGAGGAAGAGATTCCCGGTGGCTCTGCAACCATTCTGGATACTAAGAGAAATGGAAGAATTAAGTGACCAATGGCTAGGGGAGGGTAGTGAGAACTACCCTTAAAATGTGAAGGGGGGAAGGACTAAAGAGAGGGAAGGTAAATAAACAAGTTCACCGTGAGCAGCAGCACCGACTCCAACCTGATCCCCCGGCTATATGAGCAGTATGGGATTACAGAGATTGACAAAATTGTTCTGTGATGGTCCAGATAGTAAATATTTTAGGCTTTGAGGGCCATATATGGTCTCTTGTTTTGACAATCCTTAAAAATCCAAAAACCATTCTTAGCTTGAGAACTGACTTGATTCACCCAGAACCCCGTCTGCTGACTCCTGGTCTCTACTAGTCACTGCACTCTTGCCCTGAGTCACTAAAAAGCTTTGATTCCTGTCTTTTCTCTCTCCAGTACAATTGTAAGCTCTCTAATGGCAAGAACCATCATTTAAACTCCTCTTAAATGATTCACGGCATAAAGGCAGTAAATCCTCAGTGAAACCATGCTGGAGAAATGAAGTCGGAAATGCAGGAATGGGTTGTTCAGACAAACCCCCAGTCACCACTAGAGTCCTGAACCAGTTTATAGAAAATTAGAACTAGAGGATTTCTCCCTCTACCCCTGATGTTCTCAGTGTGCAGCTTTATTCTCTCAGAGACACAACTTTCCCT